GGTCGTTGACCATTCGCTGGCCTTGTATACATTTATGTATGTATTTGTATGCGGTCAAATAGAAGAAGCTGGTATTAGGGTACTCGGGCCCAGAGGTGCTAGCAGTACTCCATATAGGGCCGAACTTGCGCCTTCTAAAGTTGAAGGCGGTGGCCCGGCTGGAAGTACTGCTTCGCCCTAATGAGCACACCCAGTTTTTTAGAGGCGAGCTTAGCCTTATCTTCTAAATGACCACGAAACAGAACGTATAAAATCTCTATACAACATATTAAATACTTAGTTAACATTAATTACTTTACATGAAAGGTCCCTTCGCACGTGTACAATTATCGAAACATGCAAAACGTAGGTATTTTCCGCTTAATGTATTTTAAAAATTTGAATTTGAATTCTAAAGACGCTGTTAACCTTTACATTTGTACTTGCCTTGGATTTGTAATGGGAAAAGATTTCAAAATTATCATATCATTGGATGGTTATTTCAGGAATGTAGTGTATAGATAAATTCAATTTATGGTGAGTTTTTACTACCCAAATACTAATACATAATATTTCGGAATGAGGAAGCCCGAACCAGAATAGTAATGCACGTCCTGTCGGTGTTACCAGTTATAAAACTACCGACTAGTAGAATCATAGTTTCTACTTGCCTGAATACACCTCTTTACTCTCATTTTCTTTGTATTCCCGATTTCCAGAATAGTTTAAAATAAACCAATTCCTGAGACGTAGAATGGATGCTGAAACAAGTCAATTACCTCGCAAGGTCAATCTTACAATTTGGTAAAAATCAAATGATAAATGCAAAGTCGTGATTCTTCAAATAACATAATGCTCGTTTTGCCATCGTTTTTAAAAAGTTGTAATAACGAAGTTGTACTTTTGTATTTCATTGGCATATCATAAAAATAAGCTACTTTTAGCTTTCTTTTATGGCAACGTGTTTTTATTAATTGACAAGATTTATGTGAAGGAGTTTTAACGAGTATTCAAAATGAGTACTATTTATAATATACCTATATATCATATGTTAATGCGCATTTCGCGTGCCAAAAACGATCTGCACATTAATAACGACCAGTTCTTAATTTTAAATTAACAATATAAATTAAATAGAAACATATTCTCACCTTTTAATTTAAAAAATCATGTTCGACCTCACGGATAAAACATATTTTTGAACGGCATGAAATAAAATGCATTAAAACAGGTTCCTCGCCTCACCACCAGCACAAACAAAAGTCGCGACGGCACTAAAGTCGTTTTCGAAAATTTTTTGAAGCCTCCCGCGGTTCATTATAAGGATTCCCTAATCATGGCATAAAGACTGCTTAACAGATTAGTGACTAGCATGTACTTTTGTGACCGAGGGTACGAACTTCAAAATATATCTGACACTAAAATTATTGATCCAAATAATAACAATATCTATTACTATTTTTGGCCACCTGGTATTAATTTCGGTCTATCAAATAAGGAAGCTGTTTGAGTCTTGTATTATATGTTTTTTCATGTTTTAGTTATATAACATTTAATATATTTAAGAAATAATTTTTTTGTGATTATTATCAATTCGACAGAGTGAGAGGTGCCTTTTTGTACGAAGTAATAAATGTGTTTAAACATTACTGTCTGTTCTACATTCGGAACAAAACCAAGTTAATTCGTCATATAAACAAATCTTAAAACATAAACCTAGTAACAAGTGTGTGAGACACGAGTTAAATTAATAAATGCAAAAAATTATTATTTTAATAACATCGCTAATCGCTACTTTGTGGAGTTAGCGTAAGTTTTAACTGCGACAAAACTGCGACGTTATCTTTGTTTTTTCAAAGATTAAAACACCAATGATGACCAATGAATCTGTAAGTGTATCAGTCTGTCAGCCTATAACTTGTTATTGGATGCGGTTATTCACCGCAACTCGGTTACTCTTATGCACGTGGCCTCCGTCAGAAATATCAGATGGATTTTTTTTCGTAAAAGCATGAAAATAATTGTATATTCAAGTTAAAACGTATCGAAACATTATGGCGTTGCTTTAATGACTGAAATTTTATTTAAATGTAATGTTTGTAATTTCTACATTTTTCTACCAATTCTAACCTTAAGAGTTACTGTTTATAATATGGCAACACTTGAATAAAACTTTTTTATCCGTGGCAATTGTCAGATTGACAAGTTGCACTGAAGTTAAAAGGGAGTTTCGAAGTTATCCTTATTTTGGTGCAGAATTTAAATATTAAGTCAAAAATGGCTTCTGTTGAGGAATTACAGAAGAAGATCGAGGAGTTGGAGGTCAAATTAGCCGCCGCACAGGGGACTAAGGGTCCTGTTAGAGAAAAAATTGAAGTAATGTCTGCAGAAGTAGTCGATTCAAATCCTTACAGGTATTTCCTTTTTATACACTATCATTCAATCAAGAAGTAGATTTAGACTAAAGTTTTATCCAGTATCTTCTCGATTTCATTAAACTTTAAGAGAAAACATTTTTCTTTACGTTAAAAATTCATACAATATGGTATGCTTCATTAGGATGTATTTATTATTTTGCAAATTAAATTTTGTATTGAAATTTGCAATATAAAACAAAATTGAAATCAAATGCACTACACTACTAATATTATGTATTTTTTTACTTTCAGTCGGCTAATGGCACTAAAACGAATGGGCATTGTAGACAACTATGAGAAGATCCGTGAGCTGTCGGTGGCTGTGGTCGGTGTTGGTGGTGTAGGCAGCGTCACCGCTGAGATGCTCACTCGCTGTGGCATCGGCAAGGTTAGCATAAACCATGTAAAGCTTATATAGTAGACAGTTTTGGAAAAATATTTATAATAAATTATTTTTTTTCAGTTAATCCTATTTGATTACGACAAGGTGGAGTTGGCAAATATGAACAGGTTGTTCTTCCAGCCGCACCAGGCGGGGCTGAGCAAGGTAGCCGCGGGCTATCAATCCAGATGTTGTTATAGACGCACACAATTACAATATTACAACTGTTGATAATTTCCAGAAGTTTTGTGATACTATCAGGTAACATCAGCTGTTGAAGGGTGGCTGGTTTATTTTTTATTTTAAATCGATGTCAATGCTGCATATGTGGTATTCCTTGTGGCTATGTATGTAACATACTTATTAATATTTTTAAATGAAATAGTGAGTAGTTTTTGAGTTATCTATTTAGATTTATAGGAATTGTAAGCATCTAATGATCAAATGCTGAAACAATCTTTAAATTTGTAATAGTCTCTTAATTTATGTGACTTATGCCTAAATTCTGAAACTAACCTCAAACACTGCAAGCTCGGTTACCTTTACAATCTCTTAGACATTCAAAACTTAATAGAATTTGGAGTTACCATATATTATATTATCATATAATATATTCATATATTGCTGTCAGTATATTTTAATGCTTAAAATATCAGTTTTTCGTTTCCCTACGTAAGAATATAATTATAAGATCTAGTATAGGTGAAAGGTATTACGAATGTCCTAATTTCTATATCCAGTTCAGGCAGTTTGAAGGGAGGTGCAGTGGACTTAGTACTGAGCTGTGTGGACAACTTTGAAGCGCGTATGGCCATCAACACAGCCTGCAATGAGCTCGGACAGAACTGGTTCGAATCGGGAGTCAGTGAGAATGCAGTCTCTGGACACATACAGTTCATAATTCCCGGAGAGACTGCATGCTTTGCGGTCAGTTTAAACACTATCTATTAAGATTGACTTTTTATATAAGGTAGTAAATAAGCAAGGAGCCACATGAATTTGACATTCACGAAAGTAGATGCATTGCATATCTTTAATTGGTGGAAGAGGAAATGTACAGAAAGAGGATATGTCCCCTATTTTCTCTTCCCATCCAGAGAAAAGGGACTTAAACCATGCTTTCCATATGTATGTGGTGTTACACTGGGCCAGATGTTGGTCTCTACCATTGATATATGTCATTGTTGATTGTGTTAAGTGATGTTTTGGGTGTGCATGTAATGTTATTGGTGTTGCAGTGCGCGCCCCCGCTTGTGGTGGCTTCAAACATCGACGAGAAGACATTGAAAAGGGACGGCGTGTGCGCAGCCAGCCTGCCCACCACCATGGGCATCGTTGCTGGATTCCTCGGTATTTATTACTCTATGCTATAGTCATTTCATATTGTTTTAACTAGTACTTTGTCATAAAAATGTAGTTTCCAGTTCAAAATGCCCTCAAGTACCTGTTGGGGTTCGGAAATGTTAGCCACTACCTGGGCTACAGCGCATTGACTGACTTCTTCCCAACAATGAGCCTTAAGGTAACTAACAAATGTTATATCTAATGATTTATATTTCAAAGAAACTAAGAGTTAAATAGGAATATGTGTCTTAATGGAAGGTAACAAGGTATCGTGTGGTCTGTGCAGCCGAACCCTACCTGCAGCGAGGCGTGGTGCGTGCGGCGCGCGGCGGCGGTGCGCGCGCGCCCGCCGCCCGTCGAGCTGGCCGCCGAGGTGTGCGAGGACACCACGCCGCTGCACCAGGACAATGAGTGGGGTAAGCACCACGCACTACACCAAACACTTCCTACTTCACACTAAGCACTACGTACTACGATCTATACACACCACACTGTGCTCTAACACTATGTACTTTGCACTAAACTAAGCACAAAGTACTTCGTATTAACCATTATGTACTTTGCACTATATGCGTTGCATTAAGCACTAACTATTTCACACTAAACACTGCATACTTCTCACTAAGCACTACGTAATACACACTACTTACTACGTATTAGACACTCCTCACTTGCACTGCGTACATCGTACTACGCACCACACATTATACACTATCTGATTTGAAAAATTATATCTTAACCTATTTGTAATGTGCAGGTATTAGCCTGATCGATGAGAACGCGCCGGAGGAGGAGGTGCCCTCCAACTTGCAGCTCGCGGAGGGCGTGCAGGTAACGTACTTATATCTCAAATGTAAACTATAATGATACTAGGTTTCTCCCGTGATTCCGCCTGCGTGGAATTATAAAAAAATAAAAGTAAGTAGTATATGTGTTCTTCCAAACTATCGTCTACGTTTATGCCAAATTTCATCGAAATCCGTTCAGCTGTTTAGGCTATAAACTCTAACAAACATCCATCCATCTAAACTTTCGCATTTATAATATTAGTTTATTGTATTTATTGCAATTTTAAAGGGCATTTGCTTAAAAATAAGCTATGGAAGATATTTAATGCTGAATTTGGAGTTAAAAGTATGTTTATATGTAGGTAGCGTACAGTATAGGTGTGGAGGCGGGGNNNGGGGGCGACAGCAGCACGCCGGAGTCGAGCGGGGGCGCGCTGGCCGCCGCCGAGCTCTCGCTGGAGGACCTCATGCAGCAGATGAAGACCTTGTAATACCAACTGCCTCCACTGGTACAGTCGCGGAAATACGTGGTGTTGCACTTCAGATTGCATTGTTACTTGAAACGAGATAAATTCCGTCTCTACAAGTATCAAATTAATAGTGAGTTGAGCAAACGACGGAATATTTTTTTTCCTACAGAAGAATTTAAATTTAATAGGCAAATGGTTGTTCTGCATCTCAATTCGTACAAAACGTATACTAGTTTCAAAGTGGAACACCGACATATTCGCTGATTGTACATGACCTATTTTTTACATTTAACGATTAATTTGTGATTTTTTTACTAGATATGTCAGAATATGGTTGTATTATTGATTTTTGAATTTATTATTTATGTTTTGTGGCGTTCTTATGTGCCTACAATGTTCTCTCTATATGTAAGACAATATTTTCTCAATTTATCTTGATGTTCTGAAACGCTAGCTTTTTAGCAAGATTTATTAGATTGAATGTGCTTCATGAGTATTGTTTTAATTTTTATTATAAGAAGCAAAAGACATTTATGTAAAAGTAAGAAAAATATTGTATGCTTGTTTAAAATATGGAATATTTGTTAGAAAAATGTAACTTAATAAAACTATATTTGTGTTATCATTACAAACATATCTTCCTTATTATAATGTAAAATATCGTCTTTTAAAACAAATCAAAATTGAATATGTTTTATTTTGCTGTTAAAGTTTTTAATTGGCAGTGTTAGTTATATAAACTAAAAATGCTATTATATTATAAAAAAATATTTGATATAAAAATTGGCTTGATTGCTAAAATTGTCCATGTAATTTGCTTTTATTGTCTTATAAATGTAAGTTTAAATAAGAAATAAAAGAAATAATTCCATTGTGAATAATATATTAGTTACAAAGCTTGATGTAAGGATTGTTTTATATGTGTGTATATTTTATAAATGTTTACGATATCTGCGAGGCGCCGCATTAAATGTCCTCAGCTAACAGTTGACTTTTCATTACCTCTGTTACCGCTGACATTTTAGCTAACATCGTGCTATCCGGCGGCGGCAATGAATTATTCTGAAATAAAAATAATACTCTAATAATCTTAAATACCTTCTTTAGTGTGGGGACTAGAGTGTAGGACGGTCTGATATAATATTAATATTGCTAATTATGCCCTTGAGAAATAGTTTAAAACTTTAGTCTTTAGTTAGATTCCCCCCTTTCCTTTCTGTTCTAGTTCCCGGAATCCTAAATGTT